TGCATCGTTTTCTTGATCGTTAATGTTAATATCATTAAGTAAAATTAAAGTTGAAAGTATGTTTCTTTTAGTCAACCGGGCCGTCACTGGGTGTGATAGTAAAAATCTTGATGTGATAGTAAAAAATTTTGAGTAGTCAGAGCAAAAGCGCGGGTTCATATCTTGAAAACAATCACTTTGTACTTGGGATGAAATGAAGAATGTAACTGAACAGGCGTCTCGTTTCATTAGCTCAGAGCCAAGTAGGTAAACTTTGGTTGGGGTTTGGTTAGCTAAACGAGAAGAGAGTCTACAAAATGCACGTGGCACGTGCAAAAACTGTACTCTCTGACCACGTGTTTACGAACCTTGACCGTTGCATTTATGCGACTGCTAGCCCCGTCCAATTTATTCCTTACTTACTGTTGATAATAACTCAGATGATGTCGAAGCAAATTTGATTTATTAATATATTTTAATGTTATTTTTAAGATTTTAAATTTATTTATTTTATATCTTTATATCTCGATGACTAGATGAGCAATTAGAGGGCTTTTTGAGATTGTATACTATCTGGTTATTTATCTTAGCTACTAGAAGGTCTTAATTATTAATAGTCATTAGATATAATATCGGATGTCTTGGGGTATAACTCACCGAAAACTATTTCATACGAAGTTGGACTGCATTTCTATATATACGGCCTAAAAAGTGTAAAACATCCATCATAAAAATGGATGCAAGCAGGTGTTCCATCTAAAAGCAATAGAAACTAATAGTCTAAATGTCTTTTTTTAAAAAAATTTAAAATTATTTATTTTTTCATATTTATGATTTTCATATTAGAGATTACATGTCCTAAAAAATTAATATGAAAAGTAACGTTACTGACCAAAAAATATGAAAAGTAACCAAAAAATATGAAAAGTAACGTTACTAACCAAAAAATATGAAAAGTAACGTTACTAACCAAAAAATATCTCTAAAATCTCAATACGAGATTTGCAAAAATGAAAATGTTATCGAGAATATTCGCAGTTTTTACAACTAAGATCCGCGGGGCAGATCGTCCACCTGCAAATATGTGTCAAATTATTGGATCAGTGAACCAAATCGAACTTGGATTGGTCCGAAGTCGCGATCTAAAAAGCATTTTTTTAAAAAAAATAGGGTTTTATGGTGTTTAAAGGGATCTCATAATATATGGAAAAGATCGTATCAACCCATTAGCTGATGAAATACTGTAAGCCCAACCGTCAAGATTGAATTTGAGTCGATACGATAGTCATGATTCAATTTTGTATTTAATTTTTTGTTTTAAGAATTCAAATAATTTGAAATTTTGATAATCCACTTTTCTCATCAAGGCTCACCTAATAAAAATATTTAAAGTAAATTTCACAAAACATAAATTGACTAAAATACCCCTAAATTTTAAGAGGGTATTTTGGTCAAATAATTTTGTGAATTATTAATTTAATTTTTTTTATTAGGTGTGTCTATCTTTCAAGAGTACACATTCAAAATTTCCAGTGAATTAGATTTGTAAAAATAATTATTAAAGTTCAAATACAAAATACAATCATAACCATTGGATCGGCTCAAATTCAATATGGGTCATACTATAGCCATTAGTTAGCGGCTTAACCTTAGATTCTCTAATATAGATATATATATATATATATATATATATATATATATATACT